AACTTCACAGCTAACCATTTCTCCATGACAAATAACTAATGAAAAAATTTCAAAATTTTTTTTGGAGGATGCTTTAGAGTTTCTATCCCTTTAATGACACTCACTGCATATTTGTCTACCATGTTTTATGGCTGTCTTTCACATGTTCAGACTTCTCCAATAACGAGGGTCCAAATTTCCCATAAACATGAAATCCTTGAATGCAACTAGACTGTGTGAGTTCATCTACCATGCTATGTATTCCACGTGGCTCTTTACTTTATACAGTATATATGTTGCATAAGGTTTAAATTTTACTTTGTCAATCACATTGTTAAATTAAAAATACGTAAAAAATGAAGAAATTAAATAATAAATGCCATGAAATATTTCACGTTTACAGTATCCTAGTGATGACGCACATAAAAGGTACCACATGCAGTATAACCCAGCAAGACCACAGCAGTGATCTAAACCACCCACAATGCTTTAACCTACCCACAACAATGCTTTAAGCCACCCACACTTCAATCAAAAATTTTTAATATTATTTTGATAAAAAAACAAATATAATTTTTTGATGGACTGGTGCAGGAATACCGATTATACGAAGACGGCTGTCAGATAATTCATTGATTGGAAAACCTCTGCAGGATAACCAATTATGCAAAGAAGGCTACAAAAATTTCATTGATTGGCAAACCTTTTCTAAAGGTCATCATTCTATGGAGCCATTAGTGCCCTGATGAGGTCTTGTCATATTAAATGGATGTACAATTAATGTGTATCCATTCAGTGTTTCATCTTCTAACGCCGCTTACATCTGTAGTTATGCTGAGAGATTCTCTATTTCCCGTAAATTAAGCAAGTGTCTTCAAAAATCCAAACAACGGACAGAACTTGCAAAAAGCCCAGACCAATCATCATATAACAATTAATTTTTGATAACCATCATAATTGTAATGCAAGGGTGTTTGTGTATGTGTGTGTGTCTGACTTATGTGAGTTAGTTATTCATTATAATTGTTGGATACTACACCTCTCCCCCCCGTCTCTTATGACAAAATATATGGCGTTAAACAATTAGGGAGCCTTCTGTTCCTCGATGATCTCCACGGTTGAGTTGGTTGTCGTGGTGATTCTGATCCCCGTTTTATGAAACCCACCGTCTTCTATGGATTCATCCTGCTGTGGGTTTGTGTCCCTTATCATAGAGTCTGGTTCTGTGATGCTCACATCTCGGTGCCTCACATGATCTATATGTCATGGGACAACCGTCCTGTATTCAATCTCACCATATATGTGCAAGGTCCTCAACCTTCAGTAACCACTCCTAAAATCCATGACAATCCCATTGGTAAATCCCGGACATAGGCAGATTCTCCCACAGTTAACCCTCGGTCCTTCGCTCATGATTAGCTTATTATTTACGCTGCTTTTCCTGAACTCAAGAACTTAAGTCAGGATGCATCATGTCTAGGTGGGTGCAGAGTTTCCAACCCATGAGCAATGTTGCTGGGGTGGAGCCAGTAGTGGAGTGAGGGGTGGTTCTGTAATGAAACAGGAACCTGCTAACTTTAGTCTCCAGATCGGGCTCGCTTTATTCCCTCCTTGAATAATTGAACAGTTCGTTCCAGCTGGCCAGTGGAAGATGGGTGGTACGGGGCACTTAGTATAGGTTGAATTCCATTATGGTGTAGAAAGGTTTCAAACTCTTTACTAGTAAAAACAGCCCCATTGCCTGTCACGACTGTACTAGGTAAGCACTGTGTTGCAAAAACTGCCCTTAGTTTCTCTACAGTGGTGTTAGTGTTAGCAGAATTAACAATAGCCACATCCAGCCACTGTGAATAAGCACCTACAATCAGAAAGAACATCTTTCCCATAAAGGGCCAGATAATCTACCTGAAGGCATCTCCTTTGTTTCTGTGGGTAATCCCACAACAGACACTGTGCTAATGTAGGACTGTGACTAGCAAGTTCGCACTGTGGGAAGTTCTTGACAAATTGTTCAATGTCTGCATCCATCTTTGGCCACCACAAGTAGCTACGGGCTTTATATTTCATCCTGGACATTCAAATATGTCCCTTGTGTAGCATTTCCATATCTTTCTTTCTCCCTACAAGAGATACTACTACGGTGCCACCCCATAATACACACCCCCCAGAGACACTCAGCTCATTCTGCCTTTGTTTGTAAGGTAATAGCCCTGGGTCTGCTTTGTCCAGTCTGGTGTCTACCTCTACTCTAGGATCCTAAGTTGTCCAGCAGGCAATTTGACCAGTCCTAACAGGTGTGTCCTGTAGACTCTCCACCAGAAATATAGTCTCCCTAGGTGTAGGTATTTTTTTTGGAAACTGAGGCAGTGGGAGGCTACTTAAAGCATCAGCAACCAAGTTCTCATGCCCTGGCTTGTGTTTTATTGAGTAATCACATGCACCCAGAAGTAAGGATCATCTCTGTAGTCAGGCTGATGCAATTTGAGGTACCCCTTTCCTAAAATATGTTGAAGCAGTTCGTGATCTGATATGAGTGTAAAATGTCGACCATTGAGATAACTGTGAAATTTCTTTACCCCAATGACCAGAGCCAATGCCTCTTTATCAATCTGTGACTAACGCTTTTCTGCTAGAGCTAAACTAGAGTGGGAACAGTATGCAATAGGGCATTCTAAATCTTGAAGGTCATTATGGGCTAAGACTGCTCCTATGCCATATGGGGAAGCATCACACTGTAGCAGTAGCTCCTTCTCTGGATCAAAAGCTACTAGTAGTACAGGAGACACCACCTGCTTCTTTACCTTAGTAACGGCTGTTTCTTGTTCCTTAGCCCACTTCCCCTTCTGTAACAAAATATACAAAGGAGAAAAGTGTTTGATAGTTGGGGTAAAAGTTTTAAATAGTAAGTTACCATTTCCAGAAATGAAAAAAAAAAAAAAAAGTCAAAATGGCGTTGTCACATGGTGTTACAGACCACTCGCGATTTGCGGCTCCTGATGACTGCCTGGCTCAAGATTGGTTCTCTATTGATGCTCATCTTCGCTCTTACCTATCCCCCCCTTCTGTCTTCTCTTTCTTCTGGTCATATTGGTGTGCTGGAAGCTGGTGAGGAATTCACTAGTATCCTATCATCTACTTTAACAACAATTACTGTACCCCACCCTAAAAGAGGCATCCATCGGCCCCGTTCCATTGACAAACTCGCCTCAGTATTAACATAAAAGAAAAATGAATCACGGAAACACTTTAAAACCAACCCAGCTGTATTCCTTGATGCTGTGAGAGCCCATAATAAGGTTCTCCTTGCTGCCCGAAAGTCTTCTGATCACAGATCTGCTATTAAACAAGAGAGGGCCTTCCATCAGAATCCATGGAAATTTTCCAAATCGGTATGTTGCTCCAAATCGAAATTAGAACCATCTTTCTCTGAGTCAGTGTGTCTGGAGTATTTTAAAACTGTGTTTAGTGTCAACAATGGTCCCGCCTATGTTGGTCTACCGACCTGGGTGAGCAATCTTGTTTCAGTTGGTTCTGACAATGGAGAAGATGTGGAGTTTGATTTATCACCAATTACACCAGGTATTATTAGACGTGTTTTGTCTAAATGCTCTAACAGCTCCTCCCCCGGTCCTGATGGTATCTCTTACTATCATCTTAAAAATTTACCATGCACTCATCTCTTCCTAGCTACACTATTCTCTAAAATCATTATATCATCCCCTTTTGCCCCACAAATTTGGTGTAGTGGCAAAATTCTACTCTTTCATAAGAAAGACAACAATGATTCCCCTGAGAATTTTCGCCCCATAGCACTCACATCAACAATCGGGAAACTTTTACACAGGATCATAGCTAAAAGGCTGGAAACCTATTTATTAGAAATTGGTTATCTTGACTCCACCCTCCAGAAAGGCTTTCTTAGTGATGTAGATGGAGTCATGGAACATATACTATCGCTCAACTCCATCCTTTTTAATGCCAAAGAACACCATCTGCCTCTATTCATGACCTTTGCCGATCTGAGAAATGCTTTTGGGTCAATTCATCATCAATTGATCTCAGATATGCTGTCGCTGGTAGGTGTTCCTAACACCATTGTTTCTTATGTCTCAGATCTATATTCCAAACTTTCCGGATCTGTTTCCACCAGACATTGGCAGACTAACTCATTCAATATTACATGTGGAGTCATAGGCGGCTGCAGGATTTGACTACTAGTCGGGCTGGGTGTGGCACAGGAAATGGGTTGGGTGCGCAAAGTGCGCCGCGATTTTGGCCACACCCTCTTTTACGCACCCTTTTTAGCGCAATTTTTTGGTAGCGAAGGTTATTGTAATAAAGTAGTGGGTGGTGTAGCTCCAACACTGACTTCTGTAGTGGTAATAGTACTAGTAGTAGTATTAGTAGAGGAAGTAGAAGAATAGGGTGGTGGAGAATGAGCAACAATTGACTGTACATCAACTGTAGCTGTAAAAACTGTAGCTGTATCAACCACAAGAGTAGACTGAGACTCATGATCATCAACTGATTCAGCAAGAGACTGACCTAAAGTAAGAATTATTGAGATAATCTGTATTATTGACTTCTATACTGTACTTACTAGGTTCACTTTGTAAACTGTTGTTCCTTTTTAGCAGGCTTGTTCACAAAGGACATAGTGAAGCTAGTCCAGGCTTTTAGACATTGCAACTGACAAGAAAAGAACACTGAAATAGCACTAAATAATGAAATGATTATGCTTTCTAGTGTTGCTGTGGTGGCCCACTGTGATTGGCACCAAAGTCTTACCACCTCCTCCTTTATTTAGTCTCTCTTCATCACCTTGTTATCACCTTGTTATCAGCCTGCCATTTATGCATTCATAATTATAAGATTTTCATAAAAAATTGAAATTATAATTGCAATAACTGTTATTAACTATTAATTAACCATAGAATAACTATTAATTATGGTGATGTCACACTTCCGGTCAGAATTTTTGGTCGGGCATTGCCCCTAAATGCCCGACCCTGCAGCCGCCTATGCGTAAAGTATTTCAAGGAGATACTCTCTCTCCACTTTTGTTTCTACTCTGTTTCCAACCAATTGTCTCCCTCTCTAATTCACTCTCTACCTGTGGATTTCAGATGAAACTGCCTATTACTAACTCTATTGGCCTACCTTGTGTTGGATCATATGTTTATGTAGAATGGAACGAACCCGATTCTCTAGAGCCGTCAGGCTGGTACCATTGTCAAGTGATTGAGTATGAATCAGATGGAAAGGCTCTGCTGAGTTATAGAGATGGTGCAACTGAGGTTCTAGACCTAAGGAAAGCAAGATGGGAACATACTAGGAAGAATGGCAAAGCCTTTCTCCCTTTTGATGTATCACCTCCAACCTATCAACTAAAGAGAGTCAGACAAGACTCCAAGTTACCCAAATTTACTCCTTCAACTCCACAACGGGTCAAAGCTTATGCTGATGACCTTACTCTAATTTCTAAGAGTAAAGTAGACCATCAGAGTGCTCTGAAGGAAGTAGACAATGCCTGTAGAGAACTTGGCTTGGAGTTTCGACCAGACAAATGTGTCTCTTACTGTTTTGATGGCGAAAAACCTCTCCCCCACACTGTCTTCAACCTCAATGATGGTAAAACTCGTAATATCTCCTCGGGTCCTACTAAATTTCTTGGGGAAACCATCGGACTAACACCTACTCTATCTAAAAGAGCTGCCACAAAGAAAATCACAAAGAAACTTTATGACGCTTTGTGTGCTATAGATTCGCGTCCTATTAGAGGGGAATACAAGGCTTGGATTTACAAATCCTACTTGGCCCCCGCAATTCAATTTCACCTCTCTGTTGATAAAATCTCTGCTGGTGTGACTAAGAAGATCCAACGTCGGGCTACCTCTCTACTAAAAAAGTGGCTTAAAATTCCTAGATGTGCCACTTTAGCTGTCCTCTTTCACCCTGAGATTTTAAACATACCATATTTACCCCATTTACTAGAAAAGTCGAAACTCCGCTTCTTATCTCTACCATCTCTCTCTCATGATCACAATATCAAGTCACTATCCACTCTTATCTCCGATCCGAAATTCTTGGAAAGTGAGAATGTCCCACCTAAAGTAGCTGAAATTATTTCCACAAGCAATCCTCCCAATAAATTGAGTGAGTTAAGACTACTACTTAAACAATTACGCACTTCTCATATATTTGAGTGGAATTCAAGTCTAGAGTCTCTAACTGTCCAAAATAAACTACTTGATATTATTCCACTAGAGTCTGACTCAAAGGTTTGGTCTAGAGTAATTACTGCTCTTCCAGCTGGACAACTATCGTTCATTATTCGTGCAGGTATTGACTGCTTACCAACCCCAATGACCTTGTGTCGTTGGAAATACCGCACTGACTCATCTTGTGGTCTTTGTAATGCTCCACAATGCACTGTAAATCATATCCTGAGCTGTTGCCCTACTAGTTTATTACAAGGTCGCTATACTTGGAGACATGATACTGTTCTTAAAAGATTATACAATCTGTTGAGGGATAACCTAGATGAGTCAGTTACGATATTTGCCGATCTTAATAATCTCAGAGCTTCAGATACCCCTCCAGCCACCATCCCATTAAATATTATAGTCACAACAGCTAGACCTGACATTGTGATCATTGATGGTAGATATATTTGTCTACTGGAACTTACCATCCCCAGTAATAATATGGCCAGCTTAACAAATGCAAGAGAAAGGAAGCAAAGGAAGGAAAATTATATCTCCC